GAAACGCATGGATAATATTTTGTATAAGTAAAAGCGTGTATATGATAAGGGTTTGCAATTAAGATGGAAAGCGTTAGTGTTGTATGTGATAAATGTACTGGAATCATAAGATTATAAGATATTGTCAGGTTATGATAACTAAATATGAAGTGGATACGGATACAAGCTAAGGATTGATAAGAAGAGTTTAAGGATGTATATGATTGGTTGATTAGGGCATGTGCCCTAGATTGAATTGTTGTTATTGACTAGCTGTCAGAGTAAAGGAGATAAAGTTATAAGATTGGAAGAAAATATAAAGTTGAGTTAATCAATTGTGAGGTGGATCTGAATATAGTTGGGTATTTTGATCAAATAACTATGATGTAGATAAGGAGATAAGTAATTGAGTGGAGCTTTAAGGAAGGAAAATACAAGTATAAGAGATAGTAAAGAATGAGGTTTGTATAAGTAAATTTGATTATCGAAGTTAAGAAAATGTGATAAAGATCGGTAATCAGAGATGAGTATAAGTGATAGGAAAAGAGTAGGTGATCATGAAAGGAAAGATATGATTTATGTATAAGGAGATTTCGATTTTGAATGAATAAAGAAATAATGGAATAAAGAATGAAAATGATTGAGTTTAAAGGATCATATATAATAAAGGTTATATGGAAATGTAGATGATAAGTTTGATATAGAAGTAAGAAAAGTGTGCAATTTGATGTGAAAAGATAATTTGATTCTGTAAAATGTATGTTTAATCACATTTGAAGAAGTGTTAAGGTTGTGTTCTTGGTCAAATGATGATGGAAAACAAGTTTGGTTATTGTTATAAGGTAATTAGAGATGGATTTATGAGATTGAGAGATGAAAATGGATGTTATTGTCTACGTGATGTGTGACATTATATGGAATTTTAGAAATGGTCAAAGGAAAATACAAAATTTAATGATAGAAAAGCAGAAATGGATTGAGGTTACTGGTTACTATTTATACGATAAGCGACAGTAGATGAATGTATAAAGGAACGAATGTGGATAAAGAGCATTAGAAGATAGGTAGAGGTAGTGTACTTATCGATGTGTGCAATGAAAATTCGAGGACGAATTTTCTTAAAGGAGGGGAGATTTGTAACATCCCAAAACAAGAGTAAGTGACTAAAATAGAAGTTTTGGAAATTTGAAGTCTGATTTTGAAAGATTTTAAAGATTTATTTTATTGTTCAGTAAATAACTAATGGAATAAGGGGTATAATGGTCATTTGACAAAGAAAGATTTTTATTTTCCCTTATAAAAAAAAGTAGACACGTGGAGAGGAGAAGAAAAATTAGAAGACTATGGAGATGTTTGGCTTTCTTCTTCCTTTCTTCATGTGGCTCCATTGGTAAAGTAAGATTATGTCAAGTGATTGTTTCATTTCAATTTGAAGTTGAGTTTAATTCTTGCGATGATAACTAAGATTAAGGAAAGCTTAATTTATCTTAAAACCATAAGATGAAGGAGTTAAGAGAGATTAAAGATTAGAAGTTTTTAAATGAAATTTTGGAAAAGAGTTGATAAGTAGAATTTAAAGTTAAATTTGACTTGTCAATAGTGGAATTAAGAGATTTGGAGTGATAGAATTAGATTTAGAACATATAGAAAATTTGGTATGATTCTTGAATTTCATTTGGAGGATAGAATTTTGAGGTTTAAGATGAAATAAATGAGTATGGATTGGTTTAAGTATGTGTACTGGAGTTAAGAATATAAAAGGGGATGAAACATGAAGGATTTAAGCTAAAAATGATGAGTTTTCGGGTTCAAGAAGTGAATTCTGGGCAGAGTGAATCGGTACACATTCAATGTGTACCGATGCATCAAGGGTAAAATCCCAGAAATTGTTCAAGGTGTATCGATGCACATGAAGTGTATCAATGCACTCCTTTAAAATAAAAACATCGAATGCCATAAGTGTATCGATGCACAAGTAGTGTATCGATGCACCCCCTTAAGATTAAAACATCTAAGGTGATTTGTGTACCGATGCACATGTAGTGCATCGATGCACACGTTATGGAATGCATCGATACACTGTAGAGTGCATCGATGCATACTTTCATTAAAATATGAAAATAACTTTGTTTTTAGCCTAAGGAGTAATAGTTTAGAATATATCAATTGGATACTGATATGTATTAAATGTATTTGATATTTTGAATATAGTTGGCATGTACTAATTAATTGAGTTGAATATGCTCTGAATGGTTTGTAAAACAATTTGATAGTATTAATTACTGTAAAGTAATTATTTTCTCAAATGAGGAAATTAAGATTTCAGTGGCTTTGTAAAGAACAGAGTTTTGAAAAGTCAATGTGACACCTCGATCTTGGATCCGGGTCGGATACGGGTTAGGGGTGTTACAAGAGGTAAAAAGGAATGTCAAATGGCTGATGAAGCACATCGAGTGGATAATGATCTGGGAGGATTGACGTCGACGCATTCCCTGTACGAAGTAGATTTATGTGGATCATTATTCGGTTGCGATTGAATATTATCAGTGGTTCAACACGAACTGGAAGTCATTCCTACTTTCCGAGGAAGTACGAGGCAAGAGCATTTATTGGCGCTGAGAAAAACGTCCACCGTCACAGCATTATTATCCCCCGACTCGTGGACAGAGAGTAGACGCTTCCGACTCATCCTCAACTACAACACCAGATCCATCACAACATCCACGATCGACACCAGTTTACATTCGCAAACTACCACTATAAATTGGTCTATCGTCAGTTCAGATGACACCGTAGCCGTTTCAGATGGCACCACAGTCGTTTTAGACGCCACCACAGTCAGTTCAAATGCCACCATCGCAGGGTTTTATGACACCTCATGCCGGATATTATATTGGCATGCTTATGGATCTAACATGGGCTTAATATGCTACTTATTTGGCAGGTGGTGCTCCACCACAGGCACAGATACCTCTAGCTCAACATGGATCGCAGTCGTCGATGTTTTCGCAGTTTTCACAGTTCTCTATAAGCGATGGGATGATTTGTCATACACCTCCATGGTCCTTATTCTATGGAGGTGCTACATTGTCATCCGTCCTTCATCAACAATATCAACAAAATACAACTGCTACTGTTGATGATGATGATGATGAGAGTGTAGAGGAAGAGCAAGTTATACGAAGAAATCATCATCAAAATAGACAGTCACTGTCTTGTGGAATATATTTAAGACGTAAACATCGATAGACTTTTTATTTATTTTGTTTGTTTATCAGTAAATGTAATGAATTATAGACTTTTTATTTGTTATTTTATTATGGACTTTTGTTTGTTTATTTTAGTTTGTAATATTTTTATTTGATTTTCTTAATGTATTTATTGTTTCTATTTATTTGGTGATACATGTTTTGAACTGAGTGCTCTTCGCACAGGTTTTAAATGTCTTCCTCTTGAACTTGAAAGCATCGTGTCATATGAGTTTTGAACTGAGTGATGTATCATAGGCATCTCCACATTAAGGTCGAAGAAGCTCGCAGTTGAATGTCTCCCTCTGGAACTTGAAGGCATCGTGTCAAATAGGTATTTAATAGATTGTTGCGTCGAGGCCATCTCCATATTCAGGTTAAAGAAATTGGTAGATGAATGTCTTCCCCTTGAACTGGAAGTGATGTTGCCATACAGATTGTTCATAGAGCCACCTTTGTACAAATCGTAACAAGTTGCTGATGAATGTCTCCCCATTGAACTTAATGAAATGGTACCAGAATGTGGATTTACGATTAACGAGGTAAAATCATTCCACATTACTTGAAGTAGGCTGTCAACTTGATCAGTTTGTTGAGTCAGCCCATAGTGAGAGCATAATGACATACCACAAACCGCAGACACTTCAACAAATATGGTATACATTTGTGTAACAACGTTTGAATTTTAATTATGAGCATCAATCATCATAGTAACGGCGTTATCGTTGGAGAGTACGAACGTTGTATAAATTAACGAAAATAGTACATTAAAAAAAATAGTACTGAAGTGAGGATATTCTTATAGTACTCCCATCATGAACATTTCTTGAAATTTTAGTGATTAGCTCCTCAAGAGTGATGTTTCTCTTGAAAGATAAGGTGACATAATGATTTGATGCGAAGATAACGTCGGTTTCATCTCTCCGAATTTCTACATCATAATAAACAATAATTAAAATACGCTTCAATTTGAGAGTTTGAAAGATTGAAAATTTTATATCTACAAAAACAAATAATTGTTTCTAATATATGATCATTCTCCTAATTAAATAAATATTATACAAATTAAAATATAAACTAATATTAAACATTAAAAAATATTCACAATAATTTAAATAACACAATTTAATATTATTATCGTATCGACAAAATATCTCGAGATATAATTCTGCCTTTTATTTTACAATAACAAAAAGTAATAAAAAATAATTAATACACTAAAATTTATTCAAATAATTAAATATAAAATAAATATAATATAATAAAAATAATTTTACCTTCTAAAATTTATAATAAAATCTACTTATTTTAATAGAGAAAATTGATAGAAAGAATAATGTGAAAATAATTTTGTTATTTGATATTTAGATTCGGAGAGGAATTTATAGAAGGAGGATGTGTGATTTACCAAGAGAGCTAAATGGTAGAATAATAATTGAAAGAGAATAATAGAAGACGCATTTTATAATCAGTGACGTTATCCGTGTCAAAAAACCCCGTAAAGATATGCATCATGAGTGACGCCTTTCCACCGAGACACCAACTTAATCGTAACTCCAAGAAGGTGCTTATCTTGATCCGCAACTTACGTCCGCATTTTAAAAAGAGTGTTAAATCAGAAATATTTGAAGAAACAGTATCCGCCGGATAAATATTTACTGTTATGGTGTTTTTTGTGTGTGATAAAAACGCCCCCTGTGAATCCATCCTTCGTATTTTATGCACATTTTAATTTATAATACATTTCAAATACATATAAGATCAACAACAGGGGGAAAGAAGACAACAACATTACAAAATCAGATTACAAGATCTAACCCAGAGATCAAACTAGTAAAATTCTTAGGTAATCAGCCCACACAAACCAACTATCAAAAGAGGGTTAATAAATCCCATCCAAGAGTAATAATCATGGACTATCGTTAAGAATAGGTTAGATCATCAGAAATCTCAAGACCAAACCAACTCAATCAAACAGAAATTACTATTACTAACAGCTTAAAGATGTTTTACTGGATTTTTTGAGGCTCTAATTTTTCCTCCTTCATGATTGTGTACTCGACGTGTCTAACGAATCACTCGAATCGGACTCTAACTGAACGGCATCGTCCTGTTTGATCAACTGTTCTTTTAACATCCTTATAGAATCAAACGAAACGGCCTCGTCGACGGATTCTTCCTCCGCTTTGGACGGAGTAAACAAAACAGTACGGTGACCGTACCTACGTTTAGGACTTAATGGATCCAGTTCGTCCTACAAATAACAAGAAATAAACAAATAAATAAAACGGAGAAAAATATTCAAAAACGCAGAGAAGGAAAATCTGATAACGAAATAACAAAGAGAAAAAAAAAAACAACCTGATAATGAAGATCTGAAGCATTTTCTCTCGATCTTTTCAACGGAAACAAATTTGTTGATTTACAGACCTCTCTCCTGCCATCAGAATATTCTTCGCTACTAGATGAACTTGAAGCCGGCGGAGGAGTATTTGCAACTGTGGACCACGGCACCACCTGATTATATCCGTCCTCCGCCGCCTCGTCATCAGAAACGGCTCTTTCGTCTTCTTCATTTTCCGCTTCGCTGCCTTCTCGATCGTGGCCGTTGACGCACTTCTCACAGACGGAAACCGTGTGACCGAGCTTGGAACCAGCGGCTCTCCACAGCGTGAGAGAGTAGCACGCGTGGCAGAGAAGACATCTCACGTGCCGCGCCACGAGGAAGTTGGCTCCGTGCACTTTAGCATCACAGCCCCAGCACAAACTCGCTTGGTCCGACTCGCAATACGTCCTTGCCGCCAAATCGCAGAGTTCACAGCTCTTCATTTCTCTCCTTTAAACCAAAATCAGAGAGATAAGCTTTGGTTTGTCCTATCTGCCGGTTTCTTCTTCTTTCGTTTTCTAAGAGAATTTTTTTCGTCAAGAATTTCTTTTTGACAACAATTTTCTCTTTATTGTATATATGCAGAGAATGGACAATTGGAAAGGCAGTAAACATCAAACTGCAGTGGCTTATAGAAACAGCCCTCCTTTTGCTTCAAATAACAAATTTGCCATTAAAATACTTCTAGCTTGCTAACCTAGCTGGCAGTGCCGCCACCCCTTACATAATATTGTCCTCAAAATACTAGAATAATTTAATTAATTTTTTGGTTTATGCAAAATACCTTTTTCACCTTTGCACATTCATTTTGGCTTACTATCAAAATAAGTGCCCAAACTTTACCTTCTTTTTCAAATAGGCGTCTAAACTAATTTTTGTTTGATCTAGGTGCCTAACGTAACAAACATTACCTATTTAGGTGCTTGGGCCGGTAACGGTGCGTTAATTTTTTCGTTAAATGACATGTGTCACAACCTGGTAAATATAAAAATTTTATTTAAAATTAAAAAATTAAAATTATATATTTTTTAAAAAAACAGAAACACAAATTTTGAAATAAACCTAAAATTTAAAAACCTTCACTTCAACACCTAAACCCACGCCATCCATTACCTTTTGTCATCAACGAAGCTTTACCTGACCTCTCTTCCCCCAGCGACCAAAATCCCTATGAAATCGTGACCGATCGACGATGAATCAACATTTTAAACCTCTCGAACCCTAGGATTATAATTGCGATTCCACGAGATTCCGACAGCTAATCGATGAAAAAATACGACGGTATATGAGTAGGAGGATTGTAGGGACTACGTAGGTGGTAGTGGTTTTGACCGGAAAGGGCGGCGGTGGACAATTAATGATAGGATTTGGAATTTTGGGGTTATTTTATAATATAAGAAAAGTTATTGTTTTTATAATAAATATCATAACATTTTTAATATTTAAAAAATAAATTTCAAAATACCAGATTGTGACATATGTCACTTAACGGGAGAAATTAATGTTGTTGATAGTCCGGACACTTAAACGGATGAATGAGACAAAAATTAGTTTAGACACCTATTTGGGAAAATTGGTATAGTTTGGGAACTTATTTTGGTATTAAATCCATTCATTTTAACAAATATTTTTAACCTTCTTCACGTTATTTAAGTTCAAAATTTTGAATAAAATTTAGGGTAAACTACACGTGTGGTACTTAAATCGCTATTTTGCTTTATTTTAATACTAAATTTTATTTATTTTTAAATTATATTTAATATTTAATTTAAGTTTCATTTTGGTACACCGTCATAAAAACTTAATGATGATATTGACATATTATCATAAGATATTGACATATTATCATAAGATAATAACATATTATCATTAAAAAGATTGAAAAGACATGTCAAAATTTCTATTAATTTTCTAATGGAAGGTATCAAATTGAAACATAAAATAAATACTAGGTGTGATTTAAAAAAACTAAAATTTAGATACTAAAACAAAATAAAATTATTAGTTTAAGTACTAAACATTTAAATTAGCCTTTTTGTAAAACAAAATAATAACTATAATAATCAAATCAAGAATTTTCTATCCTTTCACTTTGTTTTCCATTTTGTTACATATGATATTTTTATGAAGAAAACAAATGTACGAGTAAATCCTTTTATTTTTTATTTCATTCAATCTAAGACAAAATAATTAAATAGAAAAATAAAGATAGGAGTAAAATTGTGATTTCGATAACTATACGGAAACAGGAGGTATTAGCGGAATTGGAAAGAAACGGTAGTGGGTGAGGGTAAAGTGGGGGTGTGGTGAGAAGATGAGCCACACGTTGAAATGGCGTATAAATGTATCGCTTATATACGGCGTTAAATTAGCCTCCCCATTACCTTCTGCTTCGGCCTTTGGCTCGTTTCCTCGGTTTGTTTGGAACAAAAATGAAGATTTTTCTTCTTATTTGTTATTAAGTAGTGGCTGCGTACAACTACTTCTGACTGTAGCCACGTGTCGTTAGTGGATAGCCGAGATTCAGAATCTCTTCCCGTTGCAGGGTCAAGGATTAGCCACGTGGATTGGCTTGATTCGGGTGATTGCGTGTACGGCTGGTGTTATCTCTCTGTCTTCTCTGCATTCGCTGCTTCGTATTTATCTCTCAAGTCTTGATGATCACTGGCCAAGGGAAAAAACACATCTTAGTAACAGCTAAGATTTTACCACGTTAGTGTTTCATGCTTTGAATAACTAATGAATGTGGCCATTTTTCCATCTGTTGAGAACACACCTTCCATTTTTTAGATTTGTTTTCTTACTTTCCCTTCACGTCCTTTGCAATGGAATGACACCCTCGATACCACCACCTGCTAGCAAAAATAAAGAGATTTTAAGTCCCTTAACTGGATACAGGAAAATAACAGAGTCAGGTTTCAAATCGAGATCGCAGTTACGATTTTGGTTATTTCAGATTTACCGTGATTGCAGTCGTCGCGGATGCTATTGCGACTGTCACGGACGCTATTGGAGCCGTCGCGGGTAACTCGGACGGCGACGAAACCGCTATATAGCGACCGAAATCACGGTCGCAGATCATTTTTTAAAACTCTGAACAGAGTAAAGACTAACCTAGTGATAGGACCTGACGGATAAATATGATTTTAAAGCGGGCGAATCGTCGGAGCTTACATGTTTTTCTTTGTAGGCCGAGCTGGAACTAATGGTGAGACACGATCGGAGTCCGAGAACCAATCAATAAAAGGTGTTGCTTAGAAGATATCTAGAGGAACCAAATATAATTAGATGATTAAATTTATTGAATTTAGCTAAAATTAGGATCAAATTGACATTTTGAGTAAGTAACAAGGATCAAATATATAATTATAGCAAAAATTTAATTGAAGAGTCATTTTCTTGGTTAAATTTTAATTATCACATCTCTCCCACTATTAAAAGTTAACGACCAGTGGTTTGATTGAATATTTAAATAGTTAAGTGGTTTGTTTGATTAAATTGAAACATCGATGGTCAAAATGATTTTTGATAATAATTGAGTGGTCACCCGTGTAGTTTATCCTAAAAAAATTATATTTGGTTTAACTTGAAAATAGGCAAAATTTTGTAGATAATTTTTAGATTAAATTATTTTTGTTTAAAATAATGTAATGTTTAGGTTTTGATTTCTTTACTAATTAAATTAATTATTATTAAATTTTAAAAATAATTTTTTTTCTACATATTAGTTCAAATGATAGAATATAGTTAACTGATGAAGCTTGATAATCAACATATTTCTAGTCATTTGAGAATAATGATGTTATTATTATTTATTTAAGATAATAATATATTTTATTTGAGAATGAATTATTATTATATTATTAAATGGTAGAAGTTTATTTTATGAGTAATTGATTAGTTTCATGATTTAAATAATTTTAGGAAGACGAGCAACAAGTCTCTCATTATCGAATCAATATTCTTAATAAGCCACACCATTTGATTGAAGATAAATTGTAAGATTCTAGATTTTACTATGTAACATTTGTTCAAGAGTTCAAGTTAGTCTCGGGTTTGATCAGTATATTGATTGAACGTTAGAGACTAGAAACACAAATGTTTTATTTTTCGTATAGAGAATGCACGATAATTCTGGAAGATGTAGCTATGCAACTAGGGGTCCAACAAATGGGATTTCAATGGAGCACAAAAATGATAACAAGGTGATTAACTTTGTAATGCATTACTTGGGAAGATGGTAGTAAAACTAGATTTAAAAGGTCAACATTTGAGGCATCACAGTTGGAGAACCAATTTTCGCTCGATCGAGATAGTACCAAGCAAGAAATTTTATACGCAACTCGAGCATATATATTGTAGTTGATTGGGGGAGTTTTGATGTCGGATAAATTCAATAATTTAGTTCACATTCAGTATCTCCCGTTTTTGCAAAAATTTTAGGATACTTGTTAATATAGTTGGAGATTGATGATATTGATGTTTTTGTATCATGAGATATGCAAGACGTCATTAATCATAGATGATATTAATACAATGAAAATTAATGGATGTTTGATATACTACAATCATGGGCTTGACACATACTTTTATTTTTAACATTGATTAGTTGAATTGTGGTTGATTTTTCTCTTATCGGAAGGTAATATTTCTATTAAGTATTGATTTAAATTCTTAATTAGAATTTTATTTATCTTGATTAAAAATAATTAATGAATATTTTTTATTGATATAAAAATGAAGGCATAAAATAAAAGGAGCGGAGTTGGTGCATAATAATATTAAAACATTTAGGTTGAATATCGTTATTAGAAGCAAAAAAGAGGTATATATATTATTTGATGAATTGAATTTTATTATATTATGCTTAGGTTATTCTTACCTTCACTTCTAATTATATATATATATATATATATATATATATATATATATATATATATATATGTTTATTTATTATTTTACAAGGAAAAATTAATTATATAACTTTTAAATTTATTTTATAGTTTATTTGGAGATCGTACGTAGATGATGAAATTACTTCGTGTGTGCCACAAGATGTTTGGGATGGTTGCCAGTATTGGTGTGCTATTACACCATTAATCCATTTTTCTTTTTTCGAATTACAGTCTTCGGATAGAGTGTTGAGACAGTTTGACTTCCATCAGCTTATTCCGTAACTTCCATACGATCATGAGGACCTCCACAAATTAGATGCACGGGGTAAGCATGAGAGAATTGTTCAGAAGCATGCATACTTCATTAATATTTTGAACAACAGAGGTTCATACTTGTCAACTCCTACTCTCATTCAAGATGATGACTTTGAGTTTTAGACTTTGGTTTACCTTAACTATTATTGGGATAATGGAAAATCATATTTGACAACACAAAGTGAAATACGATAATTTCAAAAATATAAGAAAACATATGGTAAAACCAAAAAAACTATATCAAGTGGGAGTGACAGTTTTTCTCACCATGAAGCGATATCGTTTCATCAAGTGTTTGATG